AACACCACGACTCCTGCTCCTAGCAGGATTTGAATCCATGACCTTCGGTCTTGCGCGCGAACGCCTAACCCCTAGACCACTGAGCCGGTATCTGTCGGTGTTAATGTCTGACTTTGATCAATTCGCATTCTTGTACAACCTCATACACTGTAAACGATAGTTACTGTCCACATACGAACCGGCTGAACTTCAGTGGTCACGAGTTCCCACTAGAACTCGGAGAAGACTCCTCACGGAGCTGCTGACCAGTCCTATACCAGGACGAAACGGCCGTCCAATGCTTCCAGGTTTCTAATGGCGGTTTAACATTGGTCGATTCATGATTTCAAATGTACAACTCATTGTACAAAAGTGAAACGTTGAATTGAATTTATAACTAGTACTTTTCATTGGTATGAATTCTATGTTTCAAATTCGTTGTCATATCGTCAATATTCTCGCTAAATAGCGTTGAAAATACTTGTAGTACAATGAATTCAATCCCTTTAGATTTTTCACTATCTATTATCTTATATCAGACATTTTTTGCAAAGCAAAATACAACGTAATATAATACATAAGATAATATACATGTAAGTTCAAAATAATTAATTTCTTGACTTTGAAAAGTTTTCTTTTTTTTTCATTTTTGGCAATAATTCATGTATGATGTCAAAAATATAAATAAATAAATTATTTGTACAACATTGTAATTTTTTTGTTAGAAAAAAAAGTATTCTAATAAAAATTTCAAATGAAATACTTTGCTTTTGCCAATTTACGTTATTTGTCATAGATTAATTGAATAAAAATTTTTAGAAAAGTAGTAAATTTTTTATTTAAATAAAATTAAATTTATTTAGAAAATAAAAAAAGATGACAAGATTTTAAATAAATTTACTTTTACCATGATGAGAATTTTTTTTCTAATGGAAGGCGAAGTAATAGAGTTTAGGAGAAAAACAATTTCAAATTTACATAAAGAATAATAATAATACAAATTGAACAGAAACAATAAAACAACACCGACAAACAGAAACATTGTTCAATGATAAATAGTTTTGGAGGGCAATATGAAGAAAGAGAGAGAAATGCTAGAAAAAATTAAAAGTTTAATAATCATAATAATAATAATAATAACAAATAAATAATCTGTATAACTGAATCCGAATTATTTGAATTGCTAACAGTAATGTTGACAATTCTAATCTGTTTAAGTAAACACGGATATTATGTTTCGTCTTTGTACATGTTATTGTGTAATTGAAACCATTGAACAAATTCAATGTTCAACCTACATGTTTGCGTGATAAAGCTATTAATAAATGTTATTTTATTCAGTCATAATTATCAATTGTCTAGATCTCACTTTAAATGTGATAAACAACAGTCTGAAACATAACCAATATTCAATTTTTCAGATTTTTTTTTTTAGATATCAACGTCTACTGATTATTTTTGAAAGTTGATGATCGAGTAGTTGTCCTGAACGGCTGTCAAATGACCCGGTAAGGTTGCGAATGAAAACAGTCAGCTTTTCCTCACAAAATGCTTTCATATGTGTTTGCAGGCACTGTCAAGGAGGTTCTGCTCACTGCCTTCTCGTTAAGGAGCTAACGTTCACGAAATTAAGAGTGCGAAAGACAAATGTCCACCGCTTCAACTAGGTTAGTGGACATGGAGAATCCACTCAGGCGAGTTGGAATGTTCTGATTCCAAACCAATAGTTCACGTGGACTCCAGGATCTATGACGGAACCAATGGTGTATGAACCTATTGTTGGTGACCGGCTACAAGGTGACTGTATCTTTTAGCTTGCTGTGCTGGATTTTCGATTAGACCTCAAAGTTAAGGGCTAAGATAGTGGCCCTTCCACAAAGCTACCTGCTTCGGTCTGGTCAACCGAGCATTATTTCAACTCACATTCAAATTTGTTGATTTTTGTGGTACAGATATATTTTGCTACCTTTCTGTATGAATAATTTACGTTTTCAGAAAAAAAATATTATTTTATACCTAAAGGCATTAGAAAGAAAAGCATCTGCATGCATCTCTTTCTGATTGATATTCACTGGTAATGTTTCTGCAGGGTTGAATAAATTGCTGACTAAACTCATTTATAAAATTAGAAGAACAAAGTTCCTTCAGATTCATTGTGTGTTAATCAGCTGAAAATATCTGTTAACCACGTTTAACCCAACTTTATGTCTAATCGCATTTTATCGATGGAGAACGATGTTCTTTATATGCTACGTCACAGTTGTAAGTTGTATGGAGGTCAAATTTTTTATTTTTCATTTAAAACAACCCTTGTGGTTCGCTGTGTTTGTACTTAATCTTAACAGAAAAGAATGTTTGTCTCACTTTTCAATCTAATTCGATTGCTAGCTCTTCTCTATAAAGTAGGATCACTTACTAAATCATTTTTTAAATGTTACAGTTATTGTTTCATGATCTTATCTTACTTCAATCTAAATCTAATCTAGTTATAGTTTGATCTCTTTGGTTGAGTATAAATTTTAACAATTTAGTAAACGTTTAATAAGTCGCTATCATATACATTTTATTAAAGCATATTAAAGGAGTTATCATCGCTACAGGAAAATTCATTCTGTTGTGACTTATTGCTGCCTACAAATATCACTTGAAAAATCCATCTCATTTCTATAACTTTGTCCTTGAGCTAACTAAATTTACACCGACTCGCGCTGGTAGCCTTGAGATTTTGTTTAGTTCTGATTTATCTTCATTTCGTTAGCTTCTTTCGCTGCTCGTTGAATTCGAAACACACACTAATCGGCTTTCAGAATACGAATAATCTATTTTCGTAGTTTACGTAGTTTATTTACAGACATACTTGACTAAATCATACAATTAGATAGAAAACACTAGTTACACATGAGTAAGCCAAAATGTGGTTTTGATTAGGGGAAAGTGTCAATAATAAACTATCAAAAAATTAAGAATAATAAATCATACAACAGTAGTTAATGGGTCAATCAGAGGCTGATGATCAAAACGAATAAATATATATATGATTCCTTAGTAAGTTTCCAAGTCATAGTCTAGGAATTACTACTGGCAATTACCATCTTCATAGTCTTCATCGTGCACAGCAAATCAAAATCATATTTTGCGATGAGAAGTGATGAAATGATAATACATTGCGGCTACCACAACTTTATTCAGAAATTCATCTTTTTTAGTGAATCTATAACTCAAAACAAACAGTAATCGAATATTTCATTCATTTCTTCAAATGAAACTTGATAAAACAAGATGTTCAGGCTAAAATTATGTCATCTATTCAAATAGTTTGACTTTGATATTAAGCTTTACTTACAATCTTATCGTATTTTATCATCTTAACAAAAAACACTTGACATTCTCCACAACTCTGTAATGAGGACTTTCCTCCGACTTCCAGTGAAGAAAAGTGACCAGTGGAGTTCAACTCTTTTAATTATAAAGTACTGCCTACCAAAAACAAATAATGAGGTTGCGCAAGACAATTAATTAATCAATGTTAGATAATAACACCACTGGATGCCGATTCCGTGGTATAGAGGTTAGGCGTCCGCACACAAGACTGAAGACCCTTGTGTGGGTGAAACGTCCGTTCAGTGATTCTAGGTTTCCGATACTAGTCTAACTTTGATCAATTCATGATATCGATGGAACTTAACAATCTCCACAACTCTATAACGAAAATCTGCGCTGAGTGGTATGGGGTCGCTGACCCAATGCCCAACCTTCTTCATTTATTAGTGGTTGAGACTGGAACTACTGTACAAAACAGCATTGTACTTTTCGAAATTGGTAAATTATCAGAAATTAGATTTGAGCAGTTCATAGTCGAAAGTAACATTCAATAGAATACAGCAGTCTACGAATACAAATTACTGTTGGACACAGATTATAACTAAGTAGAGTGAACTGAAAAAATGTTTCTAATTTAACTAGTGAAGCAGATGTGAAATCATATATGATGACAATAGTTGAAATTCGATTTTAGTAAACAATATATATATGTATATATATATATGTTTATTTTTAATTTAACAAACTATCATTTCTCACACCTATTTAAACATTAACTATCATTTCTTGTCAATGTTTTTTTCATTGTTCAAGTCTTCGCAAACTTTTCTATTTATATGTTTAGAAAAATATTTATTCTGTGTACGTGTGTATGTGTATGCCTACATAGAATTGAGAGTAGCTTTATCAACAACAACTGTATTGACTGACATTTCTAAATAACCACAGTCAACATTTCGAGGTTCATCTGGCATCAAGGGTGTCTATAGTATGAAAAACAAACTGTAATAAAACCAATGAGAATATTTCCTAGAATAAACAGATAATTAATAATGGCGCGCTACAAGTAAAAAGTAAACAGAAATATGCATATATGTATGTACGTATACCTAGATGTATTCATTTTGAAGATCATTTTATTCAATATTCAATATCGGTAGAAAACACACACAGAGAGAACAAAAAAAATGAAAGAAATTGTAAACACAACACAACGCACAACAGAGACACATAGAGAGAGAGAGAGTGAGTGAGAGAGATCGATAAGTAGAAAAGAAATCATCACATCAACAAAGTGTATATTTTTGATCTTCATATATTGATATTATATTAAATAATCGAGTAGGTTGTTATTTTACTATGTGTCAAAACGGTAACTTAACATGTCACAATTATGTTGTTTGAATAATTCATTTGGAATGAAGAGAGATGATGATTTAGGCGCGCAAAATATAAACCAAAAAACAAACAGAAATGAAAGTGTCCGTTTGTTTGTATTAATCACATCACAGTTTGAAAAAAAAATGAAAGCAATGAAAACACTTGTTTGTTTGGTGTAACAATAAACAGTAATAATAATAATAATTATTATTATTATTATCATTTTCATAGATAAATGCTTTCAGTTTGGTTGACAACAAAATGACAATTGCATTGAAATAAAGTAGGAAACATGGAAAGATGAATTGCTTTGAAGAATATCATTCAAAGTCACGATATCTTCTTGGCACGGAATTATAAAAACACATATGATATTCAGGGAAACATCGACAACGATGATGTTTTTTAATTTCCTCACTACCAGACGGTACGAAACTCATGAAATACCATTCATTACAACCTAATTGTTGACATAATTCAAAGCATTTCTTTGCTGTTGGTACAACGCACATGAAATTTCCGGTAGCTGTTATAAATTATTGAACAGTAAGAAAAAAACAACGGTTGTTTATATTATTGTCATGATTTAAAAAGAAATTTAAAAAGTTTAAACTCAGTTAAAAAAAAATCCGTAAATACGAAAAAAAAATACAAAACGCTTGTCAATCAGTCTGACGAGCCAAAAAAAAGCTTGAATATTCAATGACTAGATATACAATTTTCTAAACAAGATTTGTTTTACTGATGTAATTTTATCAAAAAAAACTAAAATCCATTTCAGATGAAATCAAAACTAAGTATAAGTAAACTTCTGCATGTTAAATGCTTTATATTTGACAAAGTTAAAACTTTTTTGTTCACCGTCTCCTACTTGATTTGTAGTGAGTAATGATCGAGATTAGTTATAAGTGAGTACAATATGAATTTACAATAATAAGAATAAATATTTCCGATGTCTATAAATATTTATACATATCAGGAAGTTAAGTTGCTATTATGTTATGCAAATAGTGAAAAATCTATTTCCTCTACTTCACAAACATTGCTGAAAGTAATTGCTGTTCATAGGATGAAAGTTTCGAAATGATCACTTTAATTCTGTAAGGATTTTTTTACATTTGCTAAATAAATTCATTTGAATTCTATTCAAGTTGATCAGATTTTTGATTGAACCAGTGAAAAGATAGTTTGTTCTACTGAACGATCTTAGCTAAACAAATATTTATAATCCGTACCCATCAGATCAGTGTTTCGTGTCATTATGACTCTCTTCAGCACAGTACACACACAATCCCATCATGTGTCATATTCAAACATCCTTTATTTACACTGCACAGTCCACATTAATATCCAAAAGTCAACCGACACATTCAAACTAGATCCTGCATCATATATGTTGGATAAATCTCCGGCTTTCAACTCGGTCAAACTTCACTGATCAAAGTTCTTCTCCACAATTCATCAAACAGCACCTACAAGTTAATCACCGGTGTATTCAGGATCATTGTCAGTTTTATGTGAACTTTGTGGAGATATTCAAATATTCATAATTGAGATGACTGACGAATTAGGGTTAGACGGCTACTAGTGAAGAGTTCCATATTATGATGAGTGTTTCGAAATTTCCTAATTGATCTCTAGCTAAGATCAGTTTTTGATTTTAACTAAGAAACTGTAACGGACTTCACAAAAGCTTCATACTTAAAAGAATAATAATCACAACAGCAATGGAAGATTTCTTGATTCAACTATTTTCTTTGAAATCATAGAAGATATATGTTTTTCGGTATCAGTTTATTTTGGTACTTTGAGCTAAACATTAAAAAAACAGTCACTACAATATAAACATGAAAACTAATTTAGCCTGGCCGTACATTTTACATATCATACAAATCTTATGTTAAATGGAGCAAATTTAAAATTACTCAAGAATGATGAAACATTTTGCAAAGCGATTGAACATTGAATAATACAAAATCAAATAAACTGATTAATTAGAAATTAGTATCTTGGTTTTGTGAATTTTGATTTAATAATTTATAGAGTCAGAAATAAAGCAGAAAATCAACCGTAAATTATGTACAGCAAATTTACTCCACGTTAAATAGCTTGTTGCGGATAAATTCTAAATGAAAGTAACTAAAATTTTCAGTTCGAAAAAAACAAAAAAGAGTTACTTAAATTTTCAATATTCATCACTCTGTCCCAGAATAAAATTCATTATGCATAGAACACCGCATATCAGCTATTTCTATACACAGATATATATATATATATATATACTTTTTGTTAAACAATCAATGCAATGTTTACTATGATATTGTCCTAATGAAAAATGATACAATTAAAATAGTGTATTACTTCATTTTTCATAGATAATGGTCAGATTTTATTCGTACTCTGATACTGGATATATAGAAATATATTTATAGATATATATAGAGAGAGATACTGTTTTTGATTTCAGCGTCATTATTCTTATAACCCATTATTATAGTTATTGTACTATTATTATCAGAGGTAATGTGTACTGGGAACAAAATGTATCTCTAGATACGTACATATAAATAGTACATCAGTGTTTTTTTTTGTAACTTCTTCCCACTAACAGCACACGTAACACTATCGGCTAAATGCTTCGCCTACAATAATAATAATGTGTTTTTGTTTTACTAATTGTCTCTAAGTATAATCATCAACATTTTGGGATAATTATTAAATACAGACAGATGTTAATCAGTATAGTAGTGTAAACAAACTAGTCAGAACAATAATAATAATCATAATAATAATGGGAATTTATTTGTACTATCATTTCAAATTGTAGTCACGTAACAGACAACATATATATATATATATATATATATATATATATATATATATATATAAAGAAGACTTACGTGAATTACCTCTACTGATTAAAGTGGTGTGAATATAATCAACAGAACCATGAGAAAAATTAATCACTGTCTTAAATAATATTGGCACTTTGAACATGTTTGGCGCTTACTATAACGGATCAACGGTAATTATTAGACAGCACCGACTAAATTACGGTTATATTCGGTAAACTGCAATTATGTATTGAAATTTATTGTGTAACAATTGTTATCCGAGAAATAACCTAATATTTACCTATGCAAATTTTGTTGAAATTCGGAAAAACAATTTTAATCATACTGATTATTTTCATAGTAAACTAACTAACACATTTTGTCAGTAGTTAAAAAGTTGTCAAAATAAAGTGCTCAATTTTCAATGTATATATATATATATTTTTTCTAATTTTGGAACTTTATGACAGTCCAGTTTAAAACAAACATGAATGAGTATCTCTAATGGCACATTATCAAAAAGAAAAGTTTATTGGAAAGAAAAGAATTCTCTTATCAAACTGAATATTTTTTTAAGAAACAAAAAATTATTATTGCTATTAATTACCATTATGAAATCGGTAGTTCTTCTCAGGACATGGTCTTGTAAATTTTAAATCTTTTAAAAGTAACCCATCATTACGTAGAGCTGAAATGCAATAATAAAAGACAAAACATTCAACAGATATACAATGAGTATATTTTTCTTGTCATTATTCGATGAAATGATTAAGTTTATGAACCGAAAAAAAACACAACTCAATTACATATGTGAATATTTGTTGAATGAGAGAGAGGAAGAGAGATTACTTTTACAGTAATGAAATTGGACGATCTTGGATTGTTCACCAATCTATTAATTACTATAAATAAGCTACTGAAATTCATTCAGAGTGTTTAATTCACTCAGAATACGCGTTTATAATTCTTAAATGAATGACTTCCAGGGTGTTGTCAGATACCTGTATGGCTTCACCACAGGACTTAGCAGTACTATTTTAGTTGTAGTGTTAACTTGTGCACTGTGTTGTGGTTCTCATGAAAACAAAAAGGGCAGAATTACTCTAACCCTAATGACGGTGAATTTATGTAGTAATTATGAAGAATAAATAATAATGTATCATATTATTACTATCAATTAATTATCAGTAGTTAGACAGATAATTTCTTATTCTCCATTTTTTTCCTCGCACATATATACTGATTGGTATGTTTCATCAACGATTTGAAACTATATGATACACTACTTATCATATCACATACATGTATACGTATATTTATCAATTTTTAAGTATCATTTTTCTCAAACAATAATTTAAGTTGGCGAAAAATAATCCGTACAAGAAATAACATAAACAATCATAAATGTTCTTGTCATTAAGAAATTATTAAAAATAAAAAATAAACTCAACCAACTCACCAAAACCGCTTATTTGTATGCTAACATAGAAAATAATTCCAATTATGTAAATTAATTTACTCGATAATAGAATAACGGTCAACTTTGAACCAAACATTATATGATTTGTTTGTTTTAATTTGTTGTTGTTGTTGGCAGCGGCGGCGGCGGTTTTTTTTAGTTTGTAAATGTGATTAATTTAAAATAAATTAAGTAATAATAATAATAATAATAGAAGGAGAAGAAGGAGAATAATCTAATTGTGTATATTTCTGTTTTTAGTATAAAATAACAATGTTTTTTACGAATGTGATAATCACTAATGAATTTGTCAAAAATTAAAATGCTCTGTGTTAATGTGAAGTTGGATAGTTAGTTAGTTAGTTAGTTAGTTAGTTGGTTAGAGTTGACTGATGATTATCAGTCAGATTGAATATATATAGAAAATGATCTATTTTTCGATGGGTTTAAATACTCGAACAGTTGTTATTTATATATACATATATATATATATATGTATATATGTATGTGTATTCAAAAATTAGTAAGGATAAATGAAAAGAGAGGAAAAAATATGTGTATATATGTGGATATTTATATTTATATGTATGAGTAAATATGACAGATAGTTAGTTTTATCTTGATGAAAAAGTCTAAGAAATATTTTTATAGAAAAATAATAATTTGTTCGTGTTATACAAATGAATCGAATGACAAAGATGCGAATTCAACCAAAAACTTCACATAAGAATATAATTAATATATATATATATATGTTCATGTTTATTGTAGTAAAAATATCACACAAAACAGAATGATAATTTTTCTTTAAAAGCGCGTGGGCTATCCACTTGGATTGGTGACCAATCAAATTACATGGCAAGCAGTAATGAAAATTATTGGTAATGATTTTACAATGATGATTTTAAAATTATTTTTATGAAATAAAATTTAAAAAAAAAATTTATTGTCATTATTATTATTATTACAGTATTGTTTTATTGTACAACTTGAACTATTGATCAAAATATGAATTATTTTTTCAACATTGAGCTTACACAATTTGAAATGATTAATTTTGTAATTGAAGTTGATGTACAGTTCCGACCGGCATAAATAATAATTTAATTACTAAAAACATGAAACGATCATTGATAGACCACCATTAGAAATATGGAAGCACTAGATGACCGTTTCCTCCTGATGTCAGACTCATCATCAGTACGCATAGGCGACTTCTGGGACTCGCAGGATTCGAACTCAGGACCTCAGATCTTGCAAGTGAACGTAGGAGTCGTGGATGCGCACTGCCGATGAGTCCCATACCAGGAAGAGGAGGTCATCCAGTGCTTCCATTTTTCCCAATGATTTTCTATCAGTGATTGATTCATGATTTCAGTTTTAAACAATCATCTTAAAAACTCTATAATGAAAAATCGTTTTATTATCAATGGAAAATGTAAATATCTATTTTCATTATTATTGTTTAATTAAAATAATTATATATCTACTTACAAACACTTGACTATACTACACAACTACCCTCAATTATTTTCATATACACGGGTGAAACTGTTATTTAATAAATTTTTGAATTGTGATTATTATTTGTTGGGGACGTTAGACTCCCAGAACTCACTTGGAAAAGGTCCTAATTTTGGATTTCTTGTGTTTTTGCGCATAAGTTCCTCAGTTGACCTTGAGATTGCATCCGTGACTGTCATTGGTTGATGGATTATTTTAGTTTACTATTTTTTGACCCTCCCAAGGACGTTTCTACCATATATAAATAAGCTCGATTTGTGTGCTGGTCTACCTCGTACTGTCTGATTGCTTGTAGAATACACTCTCTACGCCTTATCAAGACTTCTTGATATAGTTAGCCAGGCCGGGGACAATGGGTTAAAATAACCTATTGTGTCACAGAGTCATTGCTTCGTCCCGTTACCGAGTAAGGTGAGCTCGTAATAGCATTCAAGCATATCAAGTGACCAGCATAACTTTGGTTAGCTCATAACTTTAGAAAGATTTTACAAAAACCATCAATACTATCTACCTCTTTTACTTATACGCCCACCACTAACTAATTTTTAAATGAAATCCATGGATATTTGGTGAAAAATATTGATTTTCGCTGTTGGAACATGTGGGATGTTTTGCAGGTCATTACTCACGGAAAACAAATTGACTAGTTGGTTGTACACTATTCATTAATAATTGACTGAAGTTAAATAATATTGTCTAACTAAATACCGGCAGATTGATGCAAAGGTTAATTGGAATATTTCGTTATAAATATTCTAAATATCTATTTATAAATATGTTTGTGAATTGTTTATATATACTGAATTAAAAGACATACATTTTTGTCTGACTATAAAACAATTATATTCTTGGTCGATAATATTTAACTAGAAAAGTACATGACTAATTGTAATCACTAAAGGATACTGTCTGCATTTTACGTAACTTCGTAGATTCATTGAAATCTTATTACATGCATGAAAGTAATCATATTTAAGCGTACAGAGTTTTAATTAAAAAATCAAACGACTTCTGGGACTGAAGAATTTTGTTATCAGTATGCAAACCATTCAAGATGCATGTATACAGAAAAAGAGACTAGACGGTTGAAAACTGTAACAAGAGGATTGGAGCAACACTTACAAATAAGTCAGAATTTATTTCTACTGCTGTAAAAAACAAGTTGTTATCGTGACATACTGACCTAGCGCATAATCCGTTGTGCTTTTCTGAAGCAGGGAAGCACTGAATTTGAATCTAAGTGCAAATGACAACAGTAATATGCAGGTATATATATATATCAAATGATACAGAATTTTTTTCTTGAGTTCTACAGCTAGCCACTATTCAACTCTGCTTGAAAAATTGTTGTACGTAAGCTAATAGTTTTAAAATTATTAACGATATGATTTTTCTCAAAAAATATACATCAGTTTGAAGTAGATCGTGCTTCACTGATTATTTATTGATTGTGACACTTAGCTTTCAATTGCCGAGCTTAACAATCGAATTGGATAGGGAGGTAGCGCTACCAACTATTTAGACTAAGCACAAGAACCTAAGCTTTTAAACTGGGTTGCAAAAGCTTTACACCTATGTACACAATAAGTAACGATTCCAATTATATTACACATTGAAATCATCATTCAGTCATTGTTAGACCACCATTAGAAACCTGGCAGCACTGGATAGCCGTCATATCCTGGTATGAGCCTCACCAACATTTCGCATCCACAACTCCTGCATCTAACAGGATTCGAACTCAGGACCTTTGATCTTGCGTGTGAACGCCTAACCTCCGAACCGCTGTGCCGGTGTCCATTGGTGTTTATGTCTAACTCTGGTTAATCTAAGGATTTTGCGTGACCTCACCCATTTGTATTCGGTTCTCACTGCCTACACTTGACAGGTTTGAACTCCATCGGTCATGTCTTCTCACTGGAATTCTGAGAATTTCCTCACGAACTTAGTCACTAGTTATCATATTTCGTGATATTTTCAGTTAATAATATTAGTCAATTTACGATTTTCATTGTAGTGTCAAAAAATCTAATAGTTGCGATACTACTGGTGAATAACAACTGCAATATGATTATTCCAGAAGAATAATTTAAAAGCGATTCTATGAAACGTATGAAGTCACACTCATCATAACATCTGAAAAAGGTCTTCTGGACAGTATCAATACAAAACTAATCAGAATATGTTTTTACAGCACTGAGCAATAATTATCTTATCATGACAATGGCAAGTTTATTATTTAGAAAACGAACGTGTGTGCTGAACTCAAAAACTGTTCTTAACAATTCAATTAGTTATTGATTCGGATATTTCTATTGATGGTTTAAATATCTATTAGGAAACACCTTGTATCTTTGGCAATTTAAAATGAAACTGATAGTTTTTTACCCAAACTATTAATTAGCCTAAAGTAAATTTATGTGTGTTTTAAAATGATCAAAGTTCAATTTATTTTGATGTTTCGCTGCTTGATATCAGTCTGTTTGAACGAATAATTATTTCGCGTCATAACAAAGTTATTAGGTGAATATCTCAGTATGAAATAATAGACTGATCTTAGCTAGACATCCATTGAAAACCTTGAAATACTCAACAGATCACTCATCTCAATATGAGACTACTCACAAGTAGCAGCCGTCTAACCTTAACTCATTAATCATTAATCAATTATGAATATTTGAAAATCTTTATAAAACTCACAGAATACTGATAACCATCCTGAATTCACTGGTGATTAATTAATGGATTCACCATTTATTCATTATACTAATTTCAATGCTTAGTCGTTCAAATTATTCGATATTAATATCGACCATTTTTTTTATATTTGTAATAATTCAATAACAATATCGACTATTATCTATTTGAGATTGTCTGTGTGAATGGTTACTCGTTTATATTGTATCTAGCCTATTATTATTTGAATATAAGTACTTAGTCATGCTTCAGTGCATTAGAATTGGCTAACTTGCCTTCTTCAAACCGCTTCCTTTTGCTTGTACACTTTTTATTATCATTTCGGTCTGCTTAAATGAATGTGTATGAACTAAAATAATCCGCAACATTGTATTTGGCTAATCATCACCAGCGTTGCACAAACTAGGTTTGCCTAAGTATGACACAGGGAAAGGGGAAGGCAGATTTATTTCATCGCATACTCGATTATTCGTCCAAAAATGGAGTTAAGTAGTAGGTCACTAAGATGGTTAGCCCTACTTGGAATATATTTATTTACAGCCACAAAGCTGTGATCAGCGCAGTCCGACTGTGTTTGATGTGAGACATTTACCAATCATGTATCATATACGATGTCGTCGAAATATTTTCAGCTGACATGTGGACTTTAGTATGAACTATGTGGTGCAAATGTCAGACTGTCGACTGTGATATGCAATGGGATTGTGTGTGTACTGTGGTGAATAAAGCCGTTGCAAGAAAGAAACATTGAACTGATGAGTTGTGATTTCAACTACTAATATCCAATCAGCTAAGATCAATCAATATAATATACATCATAAATAGTCCGCAATCTTGGCAAAATCTCTACAATTGCAGTCAATTATAGATGAATAA